TGCAGGAGCCATAGCTGGCTGACATGCTGACGGTAGGAACAAAGAGATCGACAACATCCCCAATAACTCTACCCACGACCAGGGGATCCACAACGTTGGCACCAGCCATGGGTTTAAGAGAGGCCGGTGAAGTCTCGGGCTCTGAGAAGCTTATTAATTTATAGGCCCAAATGTAGATATAGGGGGCTGAAAATTAATCTGGGACCCGACAAGTGGACCCTAGTTGCACCGCGTGGAGGACAATGAGGGCAGAGGAGCAGATACGGGGAGCGCGAGTTAATTACGTGGACGGTTAGGATTTGACGAGTGGGATGGTGCGTGGATGCGGTCACTGGCATGCAAATCAATGAAGGTGTTAAGCATCTCCAACAGTCTCGCAATAAAAAATTTCAAAATGAGGAAGCAAAAGTCATAATCTCCAAATTATTTTTGCTTCAACTCCAACAGCTTCCTCATTTTAAAGAATCTTGCATTTATTACAATAATAAAAATATTCTACATCCCTATTTTGCGATGCTCTTATGCATTGGAATTGTCCCCATGACTTTTTTTTTTAATTACAGATTTTGTTTTATATTTATTTTCTCCTCCATCCCGTTTTGAAAAACATGTTGCATTTATGACAAAGCTTTCCCCAAATATTTGAAGAATGCCCCAGATTTGGGGAAGACTCCTCTTTTTTCCTCCTCCATCCCTATTTTGGGGAATGAGATGGAGAATCTGTTAGACAAAAAAAAAGCTCAAAATTCTCCAAAAGTGAGAATACCAATAAATGGGGAAGCTGTTGGAGATGCTCTTATGTACTCCGGCCTCCGGGTACTAATCTTATGTGCATGCATCATGGCGACACATTTGGATGAGGAAAACAAACAAGAAAAGCACATAAATCATGTGATATAAAACTGTCAAAACAAACCAAAATTTCTCAAATCAAAGTTATTTCCTGCATTCATCATGTGTAAAAAATTTAAGATTAGAACTGCGCATCACCACAATTCGATTAAGGTATTAGCAAAATATTTGTCCACGGGTCTAATGGCTTTTGTCCAAATGGTTCTTTTCTCCGTCCAAACGTTTTTTGTGCAAATGATTTTAATTGTTTGGATCATGATTTGCCCAAATGATTTCACCCATTTAGGCCGTCTATATTTGTAATAGTGAATTGACTTAACCATAAATATATTTAGATATTTTCATATGTCACTAGTTTTTATATGTATCCTACAAAAAATTAAATAAATATCATAATTTCATAGGCGTTTTCAATATTATCCAACAAATCTTTCATAATTTAAGAATAGTCCCTAAAATCTAGATATTTTGAAATCAATTAATCCCAAAATTTTTAAATGTTTTGAAATTAATCCCCCAAATCGTGGTACTTTGAGTTACTCCCCAAATCTTCCATGCTTTGAAATTAGTCCCTGAAATCATGATATTTTAAAATAAAATCCCTTAGTCTTTGTGTGTTGTGTAATTAATCCTCAATGTTGATGTCAGTGATCAAATAGGGGGTTTATGTATGGATTATGGAGGTGTTAAGGTCCCTTGATCACCTTTAATGTCTGATCCCGCAATAGACTGCTGAGCTTCCTACAAAACTGCAACACGTTAGAGGACCAAAGTCGGGTTCTTCGGTGATTCCTCTGGCGATCAAGTCACTATTTGAGCTTGAGTGGAGAAGTAATATGGATATATTGCATTTTTAGCAGGAGATTACTTACCCATGTGCTACAGATAGTTCCTCTATTTATAGTATGTACAGAGAGACAATTTTATAATTTTGGCCGAGTCCAAACAGGCTGCTTAGTCAGTAGTTACTTTACATGTGTCAGTTGTGGATGGTATGAGTCACATTTGTGATCAATGTGATTGTGACAGGGGAAGCATGATGCTAATGGTGATGAGTCATAAACGCTATGATGGCTAGAGCAATGATAACTCTGACAATGCATTTAATGTGATGGTGATTGGCTGTTGGCTTGGGCTCGAGGATGACTGCCTTTCGACCCGACCTTGGGAGAAGGGTCGACTCAGCATGGCGAGAAGGGATGACTCAGCCTGGCGAGAAGGGATGCCTATCTTGATCTTGTAAGAAGGGATGACTCGGCCTGGAGAGAAGGGACGCCTCCTGGCAAGAAAGGACGCCTCGGCCTAGCGAGAAGGGACACTTCCTGGTGAGAAGAGATGACAAGTACCACCTTTTTAGTCAGCCTCGTAAGTTGTCAACTCGGCATGGCGAGAAAGGACGACTTGGCTTGGTGAGCATGGATGCCTGTCTCGGCCTAGTAAGAAGGGATGACTCAGCCTGATGAGAAGGGATAACTCAGATTGGCTAAACGGGATGTATGTCTTGGCTTGGCGAGAAGGGATGGCTTAGACCGAGGAGAAGGGACGTCTTGACCCGGCGAGAAGGGATAAATCTTCTTTTGATTTGTTTGCATTGAGTTGAGGTGTAGTCTGTTTAGGACACGTGTCAACAAGTTGAATGTGATTAACACTTATTTATTTCTATGGCACAACAGTGGCCCCTTTCACTCGGACTCAGCTGGCTTAGTCCAATTGAAATAGAACTTTGTGCCTTTGTAATGGGGATGTCTTGACCTCATGCCTTGGGTTTACTCACGATGACTCAAAGATCTTGGTGTACATGCCTTGGACTTAGGAAGGTACGAAGGTTTTTATGTCGGAGTCGACCAAGTTGATGATGTGCCTTAGTTTTACCTTGAAAAGATAGCAAGGTCTTTAGTGTCGGAGGCAACCGAGTTGATGACGTGCCTTGGTTTTACTCTGAAAAGGTACCAAGGTCTTTGGTGTGCATGCCTTGAACTTAGAAAGATACCAATATCTTTTTACTGATGACATGCCTTGGTTTTATTCTGAATTGTAGGGTGTAAATTTGATTTCCCGAAAACAGGGAGTTTCGTTTGTATTGATAAGAAGGCTTATTACAAACTAATAATCAAATATTTACAACAGAAGCAGAGGGAATGCCCTCTTAATTTGTTTAGTGTGGGGACTTTTGGTGGCTACAGGATGCTTCGCTCGATGCTCGTGTCGAGTCTGCTTCCCTTGGACCGTTCGATCGAGGTTGCCGGGGAGCTTCAGTACGCAGTAGAAGCTCGAGTCGATAGAGTTCGGATCTTCTAGTTCGTCGGCGATCGGGGCTCGGAACTAGGAAACGGTGCTGCGATGCAAGGGTTATGCAACGAGCTCGGTCTCGACTGCTTTTCTCAAAGTTTTTCCGACCCCCTTTCAAAGTTTGCTGGAGAAGGCTTTTAAATGGAAGAAAGACAGCTTGACTGCTCCTTGAATTATGGGATGTGACCATACATTGTTCGGAGATATCCTGCTGCTTATTCATACCACGAGTGGTCATTCGAAGAGCTGTGCTCTGCATCACGTCACGTAGGAGTGGGAAAGCCCCTCCTCGTATGCGTGACAACAGATGTCGGATGCTTGCGTGGATCTGATCAACCACCGAGCGCCGGCGGCTCTCACCTTTCGCTTGGACAACTGAGGTGAGTCGTATTTATGAGGGTGCAGGTTGCTTTGACACATGTCTGCTCACTTGTACTGTGAGCGGCTATTCGGCGGGCTTGGAGTACCGTGTCTTCTCTCTTTAGGTCGAGAGAGGCAGGAAAGCATGTTCCTAGCACTCGAGTGGGTTTGGACAGCTCACCGAATGATGGCGGATCCAGTCCTCGACCTGGATGGGTGAAGTGAACCGCATTTATGAATGTTCAGGTGGATCTGGCACCTGTCTGATCACTCGTACTGTGAGCGGCTACTCGACGGGCCTGGAGTACTGTGCTCTCTCCCCTCTCAGGTCGAGAGGGATGGGAAAGCCTGCCCCGGCACGTGGGGTAGCGGATACCCAGCTGTACTGACAGCCTTGAGGTTTGCGGGAGGATTCGACTTTGGACTCGGGCAGGCGAGTTGTGTAAAAGGCGAAATTCCGCTATTCCCAGTTGATTCTGGCTTGTGCAGGCGAGTTGATCATTCAGGTGAATTTCTTGCAAGCTCACAGAGGTATTTTTTACTGTCTACATGAATAGGTACTAAGGTCTTTGAGTTAGAGTCGACCAAGTTGATGACATGCCTTAATTTTACCCTGAAAAGGTACCAAGATCTTTGGTGTGCATGCCTTGGACTTAGAAAGATGCCAAGGTCTTTTTGTCGATGACGTGGTTTTGCCCTGAATAGGTTCTAAGGTCATTGAGTCGAAGTCGACTGAGTTGATGACGTGCCTTGGTTTTACCCTGAAAAGGTACCAAGGTCTTTAGTGTGCATGACTTAGACTTATGAATATGTCAAGATTTTTTTTATCGATGACGTGCCTTAGTTTTATCCTAAATAGGTACCAAGATCTTTGAGTCGGAGTCAACTGAGTTGATGATGTGCCTTGATTTTATCCTGAAAATGTACCAAGGTCTTTAGTGTCGGAGGTGACCGATTTGATGACGTGCTGTGGTTTACCCTGAAAAGGTACCAAGGTCTTTGGTGTGCATGCCTTGGACTTAGGAAGATGACAAGTTCTTTTTTTCGATGACATGTCTTGGTTTTACCCTGAATAAATACTAAGGTCTTTGAGCCGGAGTCGACCAAGTTAGTGACATACCTTGGTTTTACGCTAAAAAAGTACCAAGGTCTTTAGTGTCATGCCTTGGACTTAGAAAGATGCTAATGTCTTTTATCGATAATGTGATTTTACCGTGAATAGGTATCAAGGTCTTTGAGTCGGAGTCGACCGAGTTGATGATGTGCCTTGATTTTATCCTAAAAAGCTACTAAGGTCTTTAATGTGCATGCCTTAGACTTAGGAATATGCCAATGCCTTTTTGTTGATGAAGTGCCTTGGTTTTACACTGAATAGGTACAAAGGTCTTTGAGCCAGAGTCGACTGAGTTGATGACGTGCCTTGGTTTTACCCTGAAAAAATACCAAGGTCTTTGGTGTGCATGCCTTGGACTTAGTAAGATGCCAAGGTTTTTTTTGTCGATGACGTGGTTTTACCCTGAATAGGCACTAAGGTCTTTGAGTCGGAGTCGACCAAATTGATGGCGTACCTTGATTTTACCTAAAAAGATACTAAGGTCTTTGGTGTATATGGCTTGGACTTAAGAAGATGCCAAAGTCTTTTTGTCGATGATGTGCCTTGATTTTACCCTGAATAGATACCAATGTCTTTGCGACAGAGTCGATCGAGTTGATGACGTGTCTTGGTTTTATCTTGAAAAGGTACCAATGTCTTTGGTACGTGCCTTGAGCTTATTCATGAAAATGATGCCGAGGTCTTTCATTTTTATCGCTAAATCGATGAAGATTGAGTGGCTAAGACTGCATATATGTTAGTACATAGCACAAAAATATTTCTTATTTATGTGCCTTATTTCGATTATATTTTGGAGAGGTATCCTTTAAAATATTTTACGTTCCATGACAAACCTATCGGTTTTTTAGCTTTACTCTTCATTTAATTTTGGGCGAAAGTGCTTAATTGCCTGGGCTAGAAGGGACGTCTACCTCAACCTAGCTAGGAAGGGACACATGTCTCTGCTTGGTGAGAAGCGAGCTAGGGTGCAGTTTGCTTGAGACATGTCTCATCTCCTAATTCCGAGGTCTAAATATGGGGGATCGACCACTTACTCAAAAAGAGATGAATGTAGGCGTTAAAAATTACCCACAAATTCCTGCACGTGGCTTAAGACAGAGAGAAGACAATAAACATCACTATTCATATCACATAAGCTTAATTGATATCGATAAATGCATGAAGTAAGTCGACGAACCGTGAGAAGCAACGGAACTGCAGAATAACTGATCGGGAGCTACGCTTCGCTTACGAAAGACAAAGTGCCCCTCGTGTCCCATCTATTACATATGTGATTCAACCATGGGAGATTGTATATCCTCTCGTTGGCTTTCCTTCTCACTTTGAATTGCCCAATTCCGAGTTTGGACGACGAAGATACGACGGAAACGGACGGGACGCACGAAACAATGCCCCGGGCCTTAGTGGAGACATTCCAAGTGTATCGGCCTTGGTAGAGACTATCTCACTTTGAATCTGAAGAAGCTCAAAAGATGAAAGTTGTAGAACTCCTTGTTATCTTTATAACACATCTTGTATCAACTCATTCTGAGATTGTATGAGAGAGATAAAACTAAAAGACCAAAGATAGTACAAACTACCTCAGAATTCCGAGACAATATTAGTGTCTCGGAGAAGAATGAAGATTTTGGCCATGATTTGATTCGAATATAAAAAGTTCAAAATATAAAAGTTGTAGATCTATTTTTCATCTTTCCAACGCATCTTGAATTATTTTATTTGAATGTTATATGAGAAAGTTAGAGGCAAAATAAGCCGAGACACCCCAAGGTGTCTTGGCCACTGCCGAGACACCGCGGGCGTCCGTAGCCCCGAAAACCTATTTTTGACTATTTTGAGCTATTTTTCGACCGTTAACCATCTAGATTTATTTTAGCTGATAAAATATCATCCAAGAACATGGTTAAGTGATTACAACTAAAAATAAGAGTGAATCGATCGTTATTATCCGAAAATAGAGGTCCCAAAGCCTATAAATACAGTCACAGGGCCTTTATTTTTTAGGATTTGGAATTCTTGAGCATCGGTAAAGCCCTGCTGAATTGAAGACTAAAAGAGCATGAATTTTAGAAGAGAGGAGCAGATCGGATCGAGTTCTTCAGTACAGAGAAGAAGAGTTCGTCAGATCTACAGTTCCCGGTTCTTTTCCTTAAGATTGTCCCGTTATGGTGCTCTCGAGAAGAGTGATTATCTCACTGATGCCTAGATAATTGCTTCGGTTTCTTGATTCCTTCCCGAATCAACGAAGCTCTGGATCTAATCTGATCGTTTGATGATCCACGGATATCAACGTCCCCGTCACAGGCCAAGATCCCACGCAAGCAACGAAAGGTAAACATCCGTTGCGTTTGTTTGAAAAAAAAGTTATAATTTTTGTTGAAAGTCTTATAAAAATACTATTTCTTTGAGTTTGTTATAAATGTTTGAAGTTGTAATGAACTCATCAATGAAATCGACTTTCTCCCCAAACAATAAAGAGACTCCATGGTAGGCGCCAAACTCGTGTGTGCCAAACTATTAATGTTAGTTATCAAACAAGTGATTTGTGTGTGGATTATGGAGGTGTTAGGGCCACTTGATCTTCTTTGATGGATGATCCCCCAATAGCTACTGAGCTTCCTGCAAAACTGCAGCACATTAGAGACCGGAGTTAGGTTCTCCGGTGATTCCGCCGATGATCAAGTCGGTATTTAAACTTGAGTGGAGAAGTAATATGGAGATAGTATGTTTTTTTAATAAGAGATTGCTTACCCGTGTGCTGCAAACAGTCCCTCTATTTATAGTAGGCATAGAGGGGCAATTTTGTAATTTTAGTCGAGTCCAAGCAGACTGCCTAGTCAGTGGTTACTTTACATGTGTTAGCTCTGGATGACATGAGTCACCTTTGTGATCAATATAATGCTGACAGAGGAAGCATGATGCTGATGGAGCCTGATGAGTCATAAAGGCTATGAGGGCTAGAATAATGATGACTCTAACAATGTATTTAATGTGATAGTGATTGGTTGTTGGCGTGAGGTCTGAGGATGACTGTCTTTCGACCTGGCCTGGGGAGAAGGGATGACTCATTCTGACGAGAAGGGATGCTTGTCTTGACCTGGCAAGAAAGGATGACTCGGTCTGGCGAGCAGGGATGCCGGTCTCGGGCTGGCGAGAAGGGACATCTCCTGGCAAGAAGGGATGACTCGGCCTAGCGAGAAGGGACGCCTCCTAACGAGAAGGGATGACAAGTACTGTCTTTTTAGTTGGCCTCGTAATTAAGTTGTTGATTCGGCCTGGTGAGAAGGGACGACTCGGCCTGGTGAGAAGGGATGCTTTTCTCAACCTGGCGAGAAGGAATGACTCGGCCTGGCGAGAAGGAACGACTCGGCCTAGCGAGAAGGGACGTCTCCTGGCAAGAAAGGACGACTCAGCTTGGCGAGAATGGATCGATGATTGTCTCTGTCTGGCTAGAGTGGACGACTCGGCGTGGGGAGAAGGGATGTCTGTCTTGACCTAGCGAGAATGGATAACTCTTTTTTTTTATTTGTCTACATTGAGTTGGGGGTGTAGTCTGTTTGGGACACGTGTCAATAAATTGAATGTGATTAACACTTGTTTATTTATATGACACGACACTCAAAATCTTGATATCTTTAAATTAGTCCCTCCCAAATCTTTCAATGCTCTGAAATTAACCCTTCTAGTTAGAAGCTGATTGAATGAGTTGGGAGGCTAATTTCAAAATTCTTAAAAGATCATTTAGGGCACTAGCTTCAAATTATGAATATTTGGGGGACTAATTTCATAAAATCAATATTCGTGAGAGTGATTTCAAAATGTCAATATGAGGGGACTAATTTCAAAATATTAAAGATCTGGGGTCTTCGTATATATTGAAAAACCCTATTTATAATTCATATTTAATGGGCATATATCTATATTTATACTTACTATTAGGGGTGCTAAACCATATCCGTATCCGAGGAAATATCCAAAACCATATCCATTAGGATACATATATGTTTACTCAAATCTACAACTGATATGATTTTGTTACGGATATGGTTTTGTAGTGAAATATCCGGATCCGTATCTGAAATGTCCAAATGCATATTAGTCATACTTTTATGATAGTTTTAATTCTTAGATTATGGATTTGTGGTTAAATTTGATTCTTAAGATGTCTAGTCTTAGCTTTTCAGTTATAATGAACATACTAACGAACTCTTTTGTATTACATGAACTATGTTTTCTCAATACTATCTAGGTTTCTCATATCCGTTTTGTATCTGCATGCATATCCGCTTATATATCTGCATGTATATCCGTAATCGTATCCGATTTTAGCTGATAAGAATGTATATATGTATCCGTATCCGAGATGGGTAAGCAGATATGAATATAATAAGCATTCCATCCGAGACTTCTTCGGACCGAATGCATCCTTACTATATGTTTAAGAGAAGACCCTCTTTTGGTGCTTTCTCCGTGTGGATCATTTTCATAAATTTCAATAATGTTCTTATAGTTTGAAAAATCAATCTAAATGTTTTCACAGCTGAATTTTTGTTCAACCTCACACTTAAAAAGACCAGCGAAAATGACCACACGTAGGGGCGTAGCCAGGGCAGTCCTGCCCTGGGAAGCTGTCCAGGGCAAGAAATTACACTATAAGAAATCAGGTCGTTAATGACCAAAATTAGTGAAGGAACTATTTGACCGTCATTAATGTGTGTAAAATAACGACGGTTTTAAAAACCTTCATCAAGTGATCACAAATATTAGAGTAATGATGTGAGATGTGATAACGGTTTTCTAAACCTTCATTGATTTGGTTCTAATACCGTTGTTATTGAGTCTCTTAAAAGGCAAAGGCGTATATTACCTTCATTAATCATAACCCCTAATTATAACAAGACTATTAATCAAAACAATATAAAAAACCCCAAACCCAAACCTCCCTCTAACCGCAATTAATAAACCCTAGATAATAAAATTGCGTTACTGTTCATCATCTCTCCTATTCGTGGCTGCTCTTCCGGTTCCGCAGAACAGGGCTCCCACTTTGGGGGGGCCCAAATCGCTGCGATCGGAGAACCTAGGGCGTGCGATTTCCCCCAATCCAATCGATAAGGAAATCCAAGCTTCCTTTACCTCCACTTCCCTCAGCAAGAGCCGATCTTTCTAGATCCTTCTAACCCTATCTTTCATCTACCTCTTCTTCTTCCTCCTCTCTTAGTTCCCTTCCCTCCTCTCCCACCCCTCCTCCTCCTCCGCCGTCTCCACCTCTACCGCGGGCGATGCCCTCCGCAGCGAGCAGGAGATCGACTTCAAGTTCGCGCCAAGACGCCCCTCTCATGTCGTCCACACCTCAACGCAGGCTTCTTCTTCTCCGTCCCTGAAATCATCCTCTTTTCCTACTCATCGTTGAGCTCCCTTCGTCTCCGGCCTAAGATTCAGAGATTACGGAGCGGACGCAATCAAGCACAACTTCTTCCGAGATTCAGAGAACTGAACAATCTGTCTCCGTCACCCGCCGATAAGGTGTAGCCTCTTATTTTGTTGCTAGCAAAACTACGTGAACCAAGGTTGGAACAACAGAATAGAATTGTCTAATTTACACCAATTGAACCAATGTTTCAGGTCCCTTAAATGAGCAAATTTTATGACAGAAACAACTATCTTAATACTAATCGAGCTAGTAGATTAGAATCCATTCTCTTGATTTATCGCTTTTCATTGAAATGTTAATGTTTATTATGATCTAAAATGTGTTTGTGGTTAACAGTGTGAACTATTAATATGTTAGCAATCAACGTTATGTTGTTTCTAGTCCCTTGGATATGCAAATGTGTATATTATGTGGTTGGGCTTTTAAAGTGTCTGAAATTGCTAAAGTTATGCGCTTGACATGAAAATATTGAACCATTTGGTGGTGCAATTAGCTTTGGCTATATTATCTTTATCATATTAACATAAGGAAAGCTGAAAAGAGTTGATCGAGAATTTAAGTAGGATGGGCTATATTATCTTTATCATATTAACATAAGGAAAGCTGAAAAGAGTTGATCGAGAATTTAAGTAGGATGGGAGATGTGGAATTCTGAAAGGAGACATAAGGAAAGCTGAAAAGAGTTGATCGAGAATTTAAGTAGGATGGGAGATGTGGAATTCTGAAAGGAGAGCCTAAGTAAGAACATAAAAATTGTTTGCCAGAGTGATTGAAGCATTGAAACCTAAGGAATTACTTTGACATTTATTACATGAATTTTCTCATTTTTTATAATATAAGGATTTGGAATGGTGGTTGATGTCATCCTTCAGATTGCAGTCTAGCATCCTTCGTTTCTCTAGAGCAAAAGCCACAATGGTCTTAACTGAGGATCTAATCTAATCCCCTTTTCAACCAATGAACTTGGAAATTATCCCTTTTTCAACCCTTTTTTTGGGTCAGTAGTCAATTTTTTATTACAACTACCTTTAAGGAAATCAATTTGTGAGCATGATGAAGATATTTTCTCGTCCAATTTCTTAAGTTATCTCATTGTTGATTTGTTTCTTTTGCTCATGTAGGTATATGAAATTACTGGTCAGATCAGCTTATCGTGCTTTAAGGGCTATAACAAGCTAACCAAATCACAGAAAATCGAGTGGAATAACCGATGAAAAAAGTTTATGATAGATTTTTTGCTTACTGTTCACTTCTTCATTATTTATGTAAACGAATCATCGAATTACTTCTTCCTATAGGGGGTTTTCTACATTCCATTCAATTGTTGCTGCAGCAGTTTCTTTCTATTTGCTAGTTTTATCGGATACTTTCAAAAGAGTTCTTGCAGGTAAGAAATTACTACTAAAAGTTTATATTCTGAAAATAAAAGCAAAAGAAAATTTTTGTGGGTATCTAGATCTTGCAGGTCAAAAGAGTTCTACACTTCACATTTACAATGGTGTAGCCATGTTTGTCGGTTGGCTGGTAAGAAATTAACCTCTTTTGTATATTTACAATGGTGTACAAAGTATAAAAACAATTATTATCTATATTATTCTAGTTCTCTACAATTTGGCATGTAATGTGGTTATTTTAATCAGTTCGGTTATATGGAGTACTTGTGGCCATGATTACTTGAATTTGTACAACCAGATGCTTCTAAGTAAAAGTAATAAAAATTTTTTGGAGTATAATCTTATGTTTGTACGAACTTTACTAGCACTGATTGGAATTCAGTTATAAATATGCTATTGCTTAAGTTTTTGTATTCATCAATTATACTGCATCATGTAGTCATGCGTTCCTCCAGAGGATAGATTTCCTTCTACATCTTACTTTATTGAGCTTAATCACCTATCTAAGTGAAACCAGTAACTCTTTTATGGCAGCATGGCGTAAATGCTCATAATATATATTAGGCATTGAATCTCATTCTGCATTGCAGGTAACTAACTATCAATTTAAAAAGTGTGGTTTCAGATTCAAACTTTTGTCATATTTTCATCAAGGTGATAGTATCATAATTATTTTATTACTTGCAATAGCTTTCAAGATAAATTCTGTGACCTTTCTTTGTATTTGTTGTTATCTACTATTAACAAAGCTGTCACCATAAACTGTTGATCACGAACATGGAATGATTCACTAACTTGGCTTTCATCATTGGAACCATCTTTGCTTGCATATAAAGAACGAAGTCACGCCCAGGTCCTGCCAATATTCTCTCTTTAGCCTGGAAAAATGGCCAAGGATATAGGTTTCAAAGGTAAAGTATGTGTAACAGGTGCTTCTGGCTTCATTGCTTCTTGGTTAATACAGCGACTACTTGAATCGGAGTATCATGTTACAGGAACAGTCAGAAATCCAGGTCCTGTCATCTCTTTCTTTAGTTGTAATTTACTTTTCTAAAGAGTTATAGTTTCTTAGTTATCAACATGACCAGTTTTTGGGCAGTGGCTGCTGGTACACGAAGCTTTGTATGAGTTTAGATTTGTGAAGCTGTCTTCTGTTGTATATGTAAATTTGTAGTTTGATTGGATAAATTCTTGTTTTTTCTAATAGGAGATTACAAGAAAGTCACGCACTTGTGGGAGTTAGAAGGAGCGTCAGAGAGGCTTCAGTTAGTGAAAGCTGATTTGATGGAGATGGGTAGCTTTGATGATGCTGTAATGGATTGTGAGGGAGTCTTCCATACGGCATCTCCCGTCTGTGAAGTGAAATCGAATCCCAACGCACTACATATTTACCTTTCCAGTGTTTCTATATGTGTATACTTATCACATTCTACATGCTTGATATATCACATTCTAGTTTTCTAGATGCTGAAAGCTTCAAGCTTAAGTAAATGATCAGTGAGAAAACCTAGTTTTACTTGGTTAAAACTATTGATAAATTAATGCTAAGATGAGAATAAAGCATTCTACAGTGCTTTGCATAGTACCTTGCAAGATCCACAAGGACCATATATTGCCATGAATGCATCTTAATGTAGCATAATTTTTGCAGGCTGAGATCGTTTATCCTGCAGTTAATGGTACTCTAAATGTGTTGCGATCTTGCGAGAAAAATCCAGCACTTAGAAGGGTTGTTCTCACACCATCCTCATGTGCAATAAGGACGAGAGACGATATTGACCCGATAGTTCCATTCGATGAATCATCTTGTGCCTCTGTGGAAATTTGTGAGAGGCTTGGGGTAAGTCATCAGTTACTTATAGTTATCACTTGCAATGAACAATGAGAACCACTTATACTTGTCATTTTGATATTTAATCCGGACTTCTGCTATACATAATTAACATGTTTTGTCCAGAGCCAAATTTTTGTCAATTGATACAAGCAATGTGTATTTGGCAGTTTTTAACTTTCTTTTAGTCTTAATTTTGTTTCATATGAGTAGGTTTAGAAGAGGTATTTGTGATGATAATCTCTGTTTTTGGAAAATAATTTGACATCTTTTTTTTTTACCACACAGATATGGTATGCCCTGGGCAAAATATTAGCAGAGAAGGCTGCATGGGAATTTCCCTTCGTTAAAGAGCTGAAAACCTTCGTTATTGTAAAATCTCTTATATACTTTTATGATAGTTTCATGTACCTTGCAAGAACTTTTTTTAGGCAATCACCTTCATTGACTCCTCAAACTCGAGACCATGTGCAGGACTAGGTAATTATTTTTTGTAAAATCTCTTATATACTTTTATGATTGACTACTTGCACTAAAAAATATAATTTTACTTAATAAGATAATATTTCCTTAATTGATATTTCTTAATTATATGATTTTTTTTAAATTTTTAGGCTATCCATGCAAGATTAGGAGAGGGGGTAGCTCGAGTCTTTTTTTGACGATGATTAGAGATGAAAGAATGTGTCTTCCACAAATTTTTATTTTTATTTGTTTTAGATAGTTTTATGTATTTTTCTTTGGAACAATTAGGATATTAACTCTTGTTATTAGTATTGAATATTTGAGGATGGTGAAATTTTATTTATTGATGTTATTAATGAATGGAATTTTTATTTTCTCTTTTATTCATTATTGAGTATTTTTAATATATTTGTGTTGTGAATCTTAGTGTCGGGTTGAGAATAATATGATAGTTGCCTATGAATGAAAAAATTATTATTAATGTATATTAGAAATTTGTAGTCTACAATGACGGTTTTATAAATCGTACTTTGTTCATCAACGAAGGGAAAGCACCATCGTTGATGGGTTACTAATTACCCATTATGAGGATTTTACGACGGTATCCAACCGTCATTAATTAGTCTTCAACGACGGGAAAATATCCCGTCACTGATGGTAACGACGGGAAAATATCCCGTCACTGATGGTAACGACGGGAAAATATCCCCGTTACTGATGGTAACGACGGTGATAATTACCGTCGTAAATATTAATGACGGTAATATGTTCTGTCGTTATAGACTCTTTAACGACGGGTAGTATATCCCTTCGTGACCCTTTAGCGAAGAGGGCTTCAACGACGGGTGACGAAGGGATTTTTTCCCGTCGTTAGCATACAATAACGAGGGTTTTCAGCTCTTTAACGAAGGGAAATCCCTTCGTTAAAGACGTAATTTCTTGTAGTGTTAAACTACCCCACTTCACCTCCCCCTCCCGCCTCCCCTCGCTTCCCTTCTTCTCCGGCCACTTCACCTCCCTCTCCCGCAGATCCAACCTCCTCTCCCTCCTCTTCCAGGACCTCCATCTCAACAATCCCCAACCCTCCTCCCTCCCCCGCGCCTCCCTCCTCTCCCTCACCGAGCTCCTCTCCCTCCTCCGTCGCTTCAAGTCCCTCACTACAGACCACCTTTATTTTTCGTTCATGGCAAAAAATATTTCTGGCTACGCCACAGACCACACGCACGGGAAAATCAATCTAAACGTCTTCACAGTTAATACCTTGTAAAGTCCAAAACAAACGGACTGACTTTGTACATGCACACATAACAGTTCTCAAAAAAAAAATTTTGAAGTTCACCCAACAATTCGACTACAATGCTGTTCTAGATCATGAATGAATCAAGTCTCTTCTTTCTTTTTATATTTACTTATTGTTCTGTGCAAATATGCATGCACGCAAAGTGTGCGTGTATCTATATCAAAGGCACGTGTGGATTAGAAGGTGGGAGGTGAGGCTACCGGGGGTCTATAGTAGCTTAAAAACGTAGGGGGTAAATGGCGGATACGTTGGGCACTGCACCTTTGACAGTCCCAAGATTGTGCGGCCCGTTCGGGTGTCTTTGAGCTATCCTGGGGAATCTTGCAGAGAATCTTGGCGAGAATCTTGGAGAGGCTTGAGGGGTAAGCGCAACTATACTTGTTAGGTGAACCGGTGATTCGCGCTGAGATTTGGTCCAGTAGTGAGCTTTTTCATGCTCTCTGAGTGTAAAGTTTGTCTCAACGGTAAATATGTTTCCTTTTCATAGTTTAATTTAAAATAAAAATTTCCTCTTAGGGCCTGTTCGTTTGGCCAAAAAAACTGGGAAATCAAACTTTAGGAAACCTATTTTCTATTATAATTACTTTGAAGTTGTTTGGTTGGTTTAAAAAAAAAGGAAATTATAGAATAGGAGATGAGTTGTCACCTTATTATTGGATGATGTGAGTGATTTTTTTAAAAACTTGTTTTGAGGTTGTTTGGTTGGTTAAAAAAATAAGGAAATGAATTGGAGGTATATTATTGGATGATGTTTTGAGGTTGTTTGTGTTTGGTTCGTTTTTAAAAATAAGAAAATAGATGAGATGAGATGAGTTGGAGGTATATTATTGGATGATGTGACATGTACTTAAGGAAATTAATTTCTTGTTTTTTTTTGAGGAAATGGGTGGAAAGGAATGTTTAATGAGATGAGATGAGTTGTCACAATATTATTGGATGATGTGTGTAATTTTTAAAAATGAGATAAAATAAGATGTGATGAGTTGGATGATGTGACACATTTTTTGTGTTTGGTTTATTTTTAAAGGTAAGAAAGGAGATGGAATGAGATGAGTTGGAGGATAAAAATAATATTTTATTGGATGTTGTGGGTGAGTTTTAGGGATGGAAATGGATAAAAATATTATTTTATTGATTTCCTTGTACCGATTTCCTTTTCTTGGTTTTTAGGAAACCAACCAAACAGCCCCTTATTAAAAAGGATACCATCATTCAATAGGGTCTAGTCGAGTTTTTTTTTTAACTGAAGAAGCAGGAAAAAACTTCCTGCTCATGTTATATATAATATATGTATTTATACCAGAAAAATAAAAAAGTAATTTACATACCTAACCACCTGATATGAAAGAAAAGAAACTTTTAAGAGTCACCAGCGTAGACTGTAATTACATACAAAACACTACACCAGGAACCAGTTAGAAGATGTAAGTAGGAGCTTCGCCTATGAGTAACTTCCCAAAAGTAAAACCACAAGACAGTCTGAACTGAAACCAGGCATTCACAGGGACTAATCTGACGAGAAGTTATCTCTCACCTCAGCAGCTACCTTCTTCTTAGCGATTTCGTCAAACTGCAACTTTATAGCAGCCTTACGAATCCTTTTTGCTAGCCTGTCATCTTGAGCACCTGCCCAGAGAAGAGTATATCTAGCCACATTAGCAGCAATGAGATCAGAATTTTGTTGCTTATCTCTAAGAATGAGCTAAGTTGCGGCTGTTCCAAATCCACCAGCAACAGCATGAAAGTACAATCTTCCAAATGCATCTAATATATCTGTTGACTGCTGGTGATTATTTGATTAGTATCAAATCTTTCATCGAAAGAGGCCAAGAGGCAGCATTAACACTGGGGAAGAGGGTGGACAAAATTGAAGATGCAAAAGAGCATGCAATGAATAAGTGGTCCTGACTCTCAACTTCTGAATAGCAAAAAGGACACCTAGGGTCTCCGGTCCAGCCCTTAGAGACTAGATTGGCCCTTGTATTAAGCTTATGATTACTCACAATCCAAAAGAAGACTTTGACTTTCAATGGGATTGGAGATTTCCAAATGAAATTGTAGAATCTAGATATGCATCCTCCAGAAATAAGAGTAGAATAGAGAGATTTAACAGAAAACTTTCCTGATGAGTTAAGGGGCCACCATACTAGATCCATGGATACGGTAGAATCACAGCCATAAGGTTCTATATAGGCTAGGAGATTCTGTACCTCTCTATACGATTCTGGAGAAATACATCTTCTGAGAATTGGTCTCCAATGCCAAGATTGATTTAAGAGGAAACCCTGAGATCTGATGTTGCTATCTTTAGAGAAAGCAAGAGAAAAAGCCATAGGAAAGAGGCTGCTCAGAGAGTTTGAACCAGACCATTTATCATACCAGAAGCTACACGTCTTGCCATTTCCTACAATCCATCTGGAAAAAAAAGAGGAAGACTGGAATAATAGAGCTTAGTTCTTTGAGCAGATTAGATGATTTTGGTCTGGGTTTGTTCACAACTGGATTGGAATCATCCTTGGAATACAAGGAGAAGATCACTCTACTGATTAGAGAGTCCCTCTCAAAAATTTTCCAAATCCATTTAGAGATGAGAGAGAGATTAAAGACTTGAAGATTGATAACACCCAATCCTCCTTCTTGTTTCGGTCTGCAAACTGAATTCCAAGCTACCAAACATTTAACTTTGGATGGAAGATTGCTCCCATTCCAAAGGAAATTCCGTCTTATTTTGTCAATTTCATGAATCAACCACTGAGGGAATTTGAAGAAAGAAATATAATAGAGAGGGAGTGAGGAGAGGACTGAGTTAACCAAAGTTAGGCGTCCTCCTATAGATAGGGATTTATTTTTCCATAGAGGTAGTTTTTTTGAGAAAGAATCAAGAAGAGGGAGCCAATCTCTTCTAGATAGAGAACCTTTTTTGAGAGGAAGTCCAAGATAGGAAAAGGGTAAGTATCCCACGGAACAATTGAGAATACTGGCAATATGAGAAGCCTTTCTGCGAGATCTCCCAAGGTAATATAGATGAGTTTTGTTTGGATTTACTGCCAGACCAGAGATGAGAGCAAAAATGAGGAGAATAGCTTTTAGAGTGGACATATCTGCAGAGGAAGCTTTGGCAAAAATTATTGTGTCGTCAGCAAATTGGAGTGACTTGATATTGTTGAGTTCCCCTTTCAGCTGAAACTCAGACAGGTCTCCAGAATCATGACTAGATAGTAACATTTTGTTGAGAACATCTACCACCAGGAGAAAGAGCATAGGGGAAATGGGGTCCTCTTGTTTCAATCCCCTATGACAATTAAAGAACTTTGTTGGAGAGCCATTTACCAGGACAGCTGATTTGGAGGAGGAAAGAATGTGTTTGATCCAAAGACACCATTTCTGACTAAAGCCTCTGGCTTCAAGGAGGGAGAGAAGGAAGTCCCAATTAACACAATCGAAAGCTTTGAAGAAATCAACTTTTATAGCACATATTTCCTTCTTTCTAGATGAGCAGAAATTAATCATTTCGTAGGCTAACAGAATAGAGTCAAGAGA